AAACCAGAGAGCATTGACAGAGAGGAGAAGCTAGACACAATTCAGCCTGTAACTGAAAATATGGATTACTACTAGCAGAAGCAGAATTAGCACTGGTAAGAGTATTAGCAAAAGGCTAAAGTGGCCTACATTTCAAAGAACAGTGGTTATTATTTTAAAAACATCTCAATGTWATGTAATACAGAGATGTGATCAAAATGAAGTTATTAGTAAAACCAACTAAAAGTTACCAAAATTAAAAGTTGTAGCACCCATCTCCTGAGTGAGCTGAACATTCTGAGTCATGAACAGCTAAAACAGAACACAGTATACATGTAGATATATACTATACAGAAAAAAAAACTATGTAAATTGTGTATAGGCCTTCACAGACCTAATGCAGTTTTAAATTGTGCTCTGATTTATATGGATGTTGGATGTTACTTATACAATTGTTTCTTTGTGCTCTGTGTTTTCCAGGAGCCTGGGCAAGGCAGCAAACCATCCAGAGAAGACTTAAAGTGATCTGACACCCCCACTGCTCACTCCTGCTTCAGCCTCCTCCCTGCCCTGAGCCCCAGACTCACCATCTTCTCCATTCCTGTCCATCATTCTGTCAAACCTCTTCTCCTCCAGTCCCACATCTCGGAGCTTAGGTCATGGCGGTACCTAATGCCAACATGTTCCACTGGCAGAGCCTGGCACGACTGTCCAGCGGGCGTGTCTATCACTCTCTGTCTGAGGTGGGGGGACAGATGTACATGTTGGGGGGCTGCGATGCTGCGGGGAGGCCTTGCCCTGGATTAGAACTCTATTCCCCAGAGGTTTGAAYAACCTGTTGGCTACAGCTGAAATTWGTCAATTTTAATGCAAAGTTCCTCAGGATAAATTTTGTCTTAAATCTAAGCTGTTCCTCATTCAAAAGGAAATTAGTGTATAACAAAAGGCTTGCTAACATTATGACACACCCAGGTTACTGTCAAGTTTTGTTCTAAGTGTGGCATCCTGCAATATCACAAGATTATTATGACCACTGCACGCGAAGCGTAAGCGGGAGTCATATTGTTTTTGTACTATTTATTTATTCATTTATTCATTTATTTATTTCAGTGATTTTTGGTCAACCGTAGCACAAAAACGGCTGCACCAATCAACATGAAATTTGGCAGGGCTGTAGATGAGTCTGGCCTACACTGCGCCAGCCAAAGGTTGTATGATACACCCCATATTTGAGGAGGGGGCTCCTTTCAAAGAGGGGGTGTCTGGACATGCAAAAATGCTTATAACTCTGAAACTGTTCAACTTAGAAA